CTTTATTAATTTGATCTGGTTTCTACTCTTTTGTGTTCATTATATTTGGTTTCTATCTCATGAGTTGTGTTCATTCTATATTTTATTTGTTTTGATGCTTTTCTTTGTTGATAATAAAATGAGACGAGACCTAAAGCTGTAATCAAAATGTTCTCTCATGTTAACGTCATATAATCGTCACTCTGAAACACGTTTATTCTCTTCCAAACCAAACTTTACGGTACTTAATAACAATCAAGTTTAGAGAATTCACAGTTCAGGCAGGAGACGTATTTAACGCTACTTTTCATCCGATATCAGCAGGAAACATTTCTTGTTTTGGAAAAAACGAAAACATTCCTGTTTCATATAAAGGCTCTTAGTAAGACTATGAATATTTCTGTGTGTCATTTTAATGTTGCGTTATTTAACATTGCGTATGAAAGTGTTCCTCTTGTCTTTTTATGTTGAATAATATTGGATGTGAATTTGAGTGACAGACGGGGAATGTTTGGCTTTGATTTCCCTGCAGGCCGTTTTTACATTTAACTGTGTTCAACCCACAGCATTCAAATGACATCAATTATTCACCGTGTGTGTGTGTGCGTGTGTGTGTGTGTGTGTGTGTGTGTGTGTGTGTGAGTGGGTGAGGTTGTGTGTGTGGATCTCTTGCTAACAGCTCATTACAGAGGCGACCGCCAGCGCGGCTTCTAATCCGTCCTTCTCATACGTGCTGGTTTAAAAACGACAGCGAAAGCGAATCACGTCTGAAGACAGAAGTTGTTCTGTGAAGGTGTGAAAGTCAGAATCGACTCCTGCGGCGATTCACCCTTTCATGGCACAATCACAGGAAAGCTTGGAGTGAAACGATTGAATCAGAGACCGATGAAACGTCGTCACAATAAACCGTAGATGGAGACAGATGTTGGCGAGGATCGGATCACATGGCCACGTAGCCCCGCCCCTTGAATGTAAGCGATATCTTTCCATAAATGTCCACATATGATGTGGTTCTATTCATCAACACATCCTCTGGTTTGTGATGCACAGGAAGTTTTTCCTCCCTGCAAAGATTCCACCAGAACAAAGTGCACGAAAGCTGATGCTTTTGACCACTTTTGGGTGGAATAACTCAACAAACAGACCAACCGACAATGGAGCCATACGTATATTTAATGTGTAAGTGTAGAAGAAGTAATACAACTGTGGTAAAACGGATAATCAGTAAAAGTAATACAAAGATATTTAAAGAACACGTCTATTTATGTGTTGGGGCATTCGGCATGTGTGGGAATGAGTTTTCCTTTGCTGCAGTCGACACATTTTCCTGGTTTCCAAGGAAACTAAATGAAGAGATTTCCACAGCTGGTAGTTGGACAGATTAACAGTTACGCGTTCTAGTTATCGAACAGCAGAGCTAATAAGATGAACACATACACAGTTAATATCAGCGGCATCACACGGGTCTGCTACGTCCACATAGATCGACTTTAATACGAAGGAGTGCAGGTGAACCACCGAAGAGACAAACTTACATTGAGCTGCGACAAAGAGAAGCAAACAAAACATCCACAAAGAGACACAAAGCGAATCCAACGAGACCTTAAAAATATACATAGACATGAAAATCAAGGCGACGCAGACGCAGAGGACTACGCGGCCTTTCAGAGGGAGGATGTGCTTCTGCAGGATGAGAGCATTTGAGCCCTGAACTGTCTCCAGCTGTGACTTCCTGTTACGGAGCAGTGAGGAGCATCACTCTCTCTTCTCCAGCGTCCACATCCAGCAGCGCCGCCTCTTGTTCTCCGCCACACGTCTCTTCACTTGAAGCGACTCAAAGGATCCGAACACTTCCGCAGCTCTCAGGCAGAAAAGAACATTTCTCAGTGTGTCCGGTTTTTGTGCCGTCGAAGCAGTTTTTCTTTTTTCTTTTTTCTCATGGAAGCGCTCAGTCGACTGTCACACTGCTGAGGCTGTAATCCTGTGTGTGTGTGTGTGTGTGTGTCTTACTGCCGTTGTGGGGACATCGATTTGTTTACACCGTCACATTGTGGGGACCCGCCTTCTTTTTGGGGACACAACCTCATAACATAAATCATTACATTTAGATAAGACTGTTATCAAAAACAAGCTCCTGGGATAAAGTAAGTCAATGGAAGGTTCTTTTAAAGTCTGAAACACGACTCTGTGTGTGTGTGTGTGTGTGTGTGTGTGCGAGCATGTGTGTGTGGATTTCTGAAGGTGTAACTTAGTCTCGTATTGTTGCCAATAAGCTGTCAGCCTCAGTAGCAGCTCCTCACAGTATCAGCGAGAACGTGTGCGTGTGTGAGTCTGTGTGCGTGCGTGAGTCTGTGTGCGTGCGTGAGTCTGTGTGCGTGCGTGAGTCTGTGTGCGTGTGTGAGTCTGTGTGCGTGTGTGAGTCTGTGTGCGTGTGTGAGTCTGTGTGCGTGCGTGAGTCTGTGTGCGTGTGTGAGTCTGTGTGCGTGCGTGAGTCTGTGTGCGTGCGTGAGTCTGTGTGCGT